AAGTAAGGGAGCTCAAACTAACACCACAATAATGTTAATATTGGTAACCTTGGCCACATGGTGTCATATTGCAGATTACAGGCGGTATGTTCAGTCTGTGGAGCAGCAGATAATAAAAATCCATCTTGCCTTAACTGAGGTGGAACACATCCTGTGTATCCCATTAAGTGCTCCATTTCCCTTTGAGAAAGTGAAATTTCTGTTTATGGGAAAAAACAAGCTCTGTCTTACCATATAGCAGTAACCCAGCTTCATCTCCAAAGGGAAAATATCACAGATGATACAGAGCTACCTGACACCCAACAATGCCTAATACAAACTTACAGGAAACAGGAAGAACTAAAAGCCATAAAGGAAATTGGAAAAAACCCAAAATACTTCTTCTCTTATGCCAAATCTAAGGGAAAAACAACATCCACTATCGGGCCCCTGCTTAGGTGGGATGGGACATACACAGATGATAGCCAAGAAATGAGTGAGATACTAAAGTCCCAATATGACTTAGTGTTCAGCAATCCACTGCCCACTCTAAGGGTCGACAATCCATATGAATTCTTTGTGAACAAAATCCAAAATTTGATCAGCCCAAAACTCTCAGATATTATTATAACTCCACAAGATTTTGAAAAGGCAATTAATGACATGCCCATGCACTCTGCCTCAGGCCCAGACTCGTGAATTCCATGTTCATCAAGAACTGCAAGAAGTCCCTATCGCGTGCCTTCAGCGTTTTATGGAGAGGGAGCATGGACATGGATCATCCCCCACACACTAAAAACAACAGACATATCCCCACTCCACAAAGGTGACAGTAAAGCAATTGCAAAGAACTACAGACCGATAGCACTAACATCCCATGTCATAAAAATCTTTGAGAGGGTTCTAAGAAGCAAGATAGCCAACCACCTAGATACCCATCAGTTACACAACCCAGAGCAACACAGGTTTAGAGCAGGTTGCTCCTGCCTGTCCCAGCTACTAGACCACTATGAGAAGATCCTGGATGCTGTAGAGGATAAACAAAATACAGATGTAGTATACACAGACTTTGCAAAAGCTTTCGGCAAGTGTGACTATGGTGTAATAGCACAAGAAATGTGGGATAAATGAATAATGGGAAAAATTGGTAGATGGATCTACAACTTCCTGACAAACAGAACACAAAGAGTAATAGTAAACAGAGTAAAGTCCCAGGCAGCCATGGTAAAAAGCTCTGTTCCACAAGGCACAGTACTTGCTCCCATTCTATCCCTCATCCTCATTTCTGACATAGACAGAGATGTAAGCCATAGCTCCATGTCTTCCTTTGCAGATGACACCTGGATCACCATGGCAGTGACCTTCATCGAATACACTGCGAGACTCCAAGCGGACATTAACCACATCTTCGAATGGGCCACTCAAAACAATATGAAGTTCAGGGAGGAAAAATTTCAACTACTTAGATATGGAAAACTTGAAGAAATTAAAAATGTGTCAGGGTATACCACAAACTCTAACCATTCAGTAGAGCAGAAAAGTACTGTGAAGGACCTGGAAGTGATAATGTAAGAGAATCTCGCCTTCAAAGACCGCACCAATGTATCTACCTCATCCGCTAGGAAAATGATAGGATGGATAATGAGAACCTTCAAAACTAAGGATGGCAAGCCCATGATGATTCTCCTCAAATTGCTTGTGCTCTCTAGGCTGGAATACTGCTGTACACTAATGGCCCCCTTCAAGGCTGGCAACATTGCAGACCTGGAGAGTGTACAAAGAACTTAAATGGCACACATAAGTATGATAAGGCATCTAAACTACTGGGAACTGTTGAAGGTCCTCGATCTGTATTCCCTCGAATGCAGGTGAGAGAGAGATACATGATAATATACACTTGGAAGGTCCTGGAGGGATTGGTACCAAACTTGCACACGAAAATCACTCCATATGAAAGCAAAAGACTCGGCAGGAGATGCAACATTCCCCCGATGAAAACCAGGGGTGCCACGAGTACACTGAGAGACAACACAATAAGTGTCCGGGGGCCCAAGACTGTTCAATTGCCTCCCAGCATATATAAGGGGGATTACCAATAGACCCCTGGCTGTCTTCAAGAAGGCACTGGACAGGCACCTGAAGTCAGTACCTGACCAACTGGGCTGTGGTTCATATGTCAGCTTGTGTGTGGCCAGCAGTAGCAGCCTGGTTGATCAGACCCTGATCCACCATGAGGCCTGGTCTCAGACCGGGCTGTGGGGGCGTTGACCCCCTAAACCCTCTCCAGGTAAACTCCAGGTAAACCCCAGTGTAAAACCCCTATGAAATCCTCACCTCTGACATTCCAAACTCTTCACCCTCTGCCATTTTCACTAACTCTTTGCTTAAGTAGTCTTCTTTAGCTGTTCTTTCAGCACTTTCACCACAACATCAAAACCTCCAAAAACCAGCCTTCAAGATTTCCTACCAGCCTATTGTCTCTTCACACTTTAATAAGCCTACCCCTCAACAATAGTAGAAATACATTCACCCCTCCATACTTCTTTTACTCCATCTGTATCCACACAGACCCCCCTCCCTCTATCTCAGGAGATAATTACTCTCCCACAACCTCTTCCTATCTTGGCAGTTTTCAATGTTCTTCTCTTCTCTGCTTGATTTTTCTCTTCACCTCTTGCAACACACTACTCTCCTGGCTGCAGAAATGATTGAAGTCACATCAGCATTTATCAAAAAGTCAGAGCCTGAAATGGACCTTGACAAACCCTAACTTAAATAAAGAACATAAGCAAGATGGTTATTCAAACCTATTTGCATGAATATATATTCTAAGACTTGCTGTCTGACTTCTTTTACAGACCAACATTGACTACAATTTTGCACCCACACTACCCTCCACCTTCACTAACCCTTAACTTTGCATACTTCTTCTTGCAGTGCTGTATGACCCATACAAGTTTGAATATAGTAATAATAATAATACACAATATTGTACATATTTTAATATTTTCAATGCACCAGCTGTCTCCCATTACAAAATTACGTAAAAATTTGAGAAAGAGGAGAATGCTTCAAGATTTTTTCCCCTTCAGGTTTTCACTGCTGTTTTAAATGATTTTGTTCCTGACTTGCTTTCTCCTGCTTAATAAATATTTAGATGAGAAAAAAGTTCTTCATATGAAAGCTTTTTTGAGTGCTCAGGACACAATATACTTATTAGACCAGCCATCACGACATGTTAGAGCTTAACATGTATGTAGTATCTTCGTCATGGTCTTATAAAGTGACACTGAGTGAAATATAAAGATAGCTGTCAGTGTTGACAATAGATACTACATTATAGTGTATAATGTGTAGAGTGAAATCAATGGTGCTAATAGTTAAAAAAAAAAAAAAAGTACTTCTGTGTGCATGCATATGCACCTTCCCAAGTTCGTACGTTATGTGCATGTATGTATGAGAGAGAGAGATAAGATTTAAAGTACAGTCAGGCATTGTTAATTTGGAAATGATACTTGGACAGTTTGTTTTGGTACTTGGAAAATTGTATGATGTTGTCACTGAGAATGCTCTGATACTTCATCGATGGTTTGGTGTCCAGTCTGTAAATTAGGGCTGTCTCTTTGAACAGTTTGATAATAAAACTTTGGACTGGAGTGCAGCTTCAAGGTGTGTCACCCTTACAGCCACCTGCAGCTAGCTGCTTCCCTAGGGAACCATGTTCATTGAAAAAATGTGAATAACACTTTCCACTTAGTGGTTTATGCTTGCATTTCACTCATTCAACAGTAATTGCATGGTATAATAATGTCAATGTTTATAGCCATAAGCCTCATGTATATGCTGGTACATGGTAAAACACATAATTACTAATGAGTGAGTGAGAAAATCAGTGTTAAAATGAGGGTTAATATGGTTATATGTGATGTTATTTGACAACAAATTTTGTCATTTTTTAAGGAATTACAGTGTACAATGTTTATGCTGATATTTTGCCATTTAATCTCGCCTAACGTATTTACATGTTTTACTTAAATTTTACATGAGAATAAGAAGAGAGGCATTAGTGAATTGCATTTTATATTTTATTTGTTCTGTATTGGTGTTCTTGAAATTTTCTTAGATTTTTATGGTCAATTAGGCTGGATGGTTTGTGGGATCAAAACATCTCCAGACACAGTCAGTCTGAACTTTTGATGTTTGACTGTATTATGTATATATGTTCATTTGTATTCCATTTTGTGTGAATGTTTGTTTCCCATATTTTCCACATGACAACAGAAGAACTCTTTAAAATTATGATCATTGCATATAAGGATATATAAATAACTATGAGTAGTTAATGAGTTAATATCAGCAATGCAAGAATAATGTATATATTACAGAAAGACTGGGCCATAAATTTGTTATATTATAGTTACTGTATTAAACTTGTGTAAGAATTTTTGGAAGCAATTAAAAAAAGTAATATGAAAGCTTATAATAAGCTGTAATTTATAAGGAAAACACTTTGGTCAGGATTTTCTTCTCCAGGACCAGACCTATAAATTGTATACATTGTGTACATATACTGGTAGATGACCCATTACAGGATCCAGGAAACTGTGGACTGAGAGGGAGCTAGATTCAAGTAAGATACCTACCTGACTCATATAATGAATAATATAATTATAAATAATGAATAAATGTTACTATTTATTAATACTGTACTGTAAACTGTTGTCCTGGTTTCTGCCATCAAAATAAAGAATCTGTGACAACAACTAATCTGTTGCATAACATAAACATGAAAACTAACAAACTCAAATTAAGTTGTAATAACTGTTGTCAATGGATAAACAGAAGGGTGGATGAGGGACTTGAACCGTGGTCCATAAATTGACAGTCAGTACAGCATCGATTGTCAATTTACAGACTGTGGTTCATGCCTCTTGTCCACCCTTCTGTTTATTTATGAGAACAAATGTCTAGAGAAAATTCTGTTTCTCAGAATTAAACATTCCTGTATTTGCACTTTCCAGATAGGTTTTTTTTATCAGCCATATAGTCCAAGAATGATTCTTGTGTGGCATGTTGGACATGTTCTTGGCATGAATGATGATTTATTTTGGTGGAAGAAACAAGGATTTTAATTTAGTAGGTAAATTACAGTGATAAGTCTTTTTGGGTAATTGGATTGGATTGACATCCTTGTGACCTGGAGCTTGCATGGTAAGTTGTTAAAGTGTATTCAAGTATTAGTGAGGAGTATAAAAAGCAATAGATTTCTTGAGGTAATGTTGTTGACATGATAATAGCATAACTACATTTTTCCTTGCGTAATTTTATATTATGCGAGGAATACATAGAAATGATCAGTAAGTTAAATGAAGAGTGAAAGATTTATTGTTAAAGTTGGTATTGCATACTTTCCTGAAAAATGCTGTATATGGGAATTTTTTAAATATAAACCCATTGGTAGCAGGAGAAAAAGGTTATGTGTAATGGTTCAGATAGCATAATACACTGTATGTATGTGTGTGTATGTGTGTATATTTTTTTTTCAACAAACCAGCCTTATCCTAAACCAGCCTTATCCTACACCAAGGCAGGGTGATCTAAAAGGAAAAACAAAAGATTCTCTTTAAAATTAGTAATGTTTACAGGAGAAGAGGTTACTAGCCCCTTGCTCCCAGCATTTTAGTTGCCTCTTACGACATGCCTGGCTTACGGGGAAAGAATTCTATTCCACTTCCCCATGGAGAATTGATATATATATATATTGATATACAGTGGACCCCCCGGTTAACGATATTTTTTCACTCCATAAGTATGTTCAGGTGCCAGTACTGACCGAATTTATTCCCATAAGGAATATTGTGAAGTAGATTAGTCCATTTCAGACCCCCAAACATACACGTACAAACGCACTTACATAAATACACTTACATAATTGGTCGCATTCGGAGGTAATCGTTATGCGGGGGTCCACTGTATATATATATATATATATATATATATATATATATATATATATATATATAGTCGGACTTGAGTCCTGGAAATGGGAAGTACAATGCCTGCACTTTAAAGGAGGGGTTTGGGATATTGGCAGTTTGGAGGGATATGTTGTGTATCTTTATACGTATATGCTTCTAAACTGTTGTGTTCTGAGCACCTCTGCAAAAGCAGTGATAATGTGTGAGTGTGGTGAAAGTGTTGAATGATGATGAAAGTATTTTCTTTTTGGGGATTTTCTTTCTTTTTTGGGTCACCCTGCCTCGGTGGGAGACGACCGACTTGTTGAAAAAAAAAAAATATATATATATATATTATAATTTTTTTTTTTTTTTTTTTTTTTTTTTAACAAGTTGGCCATCTCTCACCGAGGCAGGGTGACCCAACTAGAAAGAAAATCCCCAAAAAGAAAATACTTTCATCATCATTCAACATTTTCACCTCACTCACACATAATCACTGTTTTTGCAGAGGTGCTCAGAATACAACAGTTTAGAAGCATATACGTATAAAGATACACAACATATCCCTCCAAACTGCTAATATCCCGAACCCCTCCTTTAAAGTGCAGGCATTGTACTTCCCATTTCCAGGACTCAAGTCCAGCTATATAAAAATAACTGGTTTCCCTGAATCCCTTCACTAAATATTACCCTGCTCACACTCCAACAGATTGTCAGGTCCCAAAAACCATTCGTTTCCATTCACTCATATCTAATACGCTCATGCACGCTTATTGGGAGTCCAAGCCCCTCACCCACAAAACCTCCTTTACCCCCTCCCTTCAACCTTTTTGAGGACGACTCCTACCCCGCCTTCCTTCCCCTACAGATTTATACACTCTCCAAGTCATTCTACCTCTGAGGTCCAGAAGATTTCAACATATTAACAACAGATATCAGAAATATTGCTAGAACAAGGGTGGAAGTTTTAAGAAGAAACTAGACAGCTTCTTGTTCTAAGTGTTAGACCAGCCAGGTTGTGATTGTTGTTTGGGCCTGAGAACTGATGGCATAGGCATTTGGAGTGGCACTTTTTTAGAAGGGAAAGACAAGAAATTTACCCTGATATATTAAGAGTGTGTCAATATATGGAGCATAAAATAACACAAAATTACTTGATATAGCATATTAACTCAGTTAATTCCTTCCCCTCAGCAAATTTACAATGCATTATCAAAGAAACTGACCTAAAAGAATCAATTTAGCAATGAAAATGCTCAATTATGCCTGAAAATATTGAATTTTGTAGTCGGGGGGGGGGGGGGGGGAGTTTGACCCACAGCCGCATACACCTATAGCTGCTAGTACTAATGTCCTGGTTGACCAACTGGTCAACAGGGAAGACTCGCCTCAAGTTGAGCTGTGGGGGTTGAAAGAGCCTTCAAAACTGATCACAGTTTAGGTACAGGTTAGATAGGATTAAGTATATTCTTCAATTCTTTCTTTCAACACACCGGCCGTATCCCACCGAGGCGGGGTGGCCCAAAAGGAAAAACGAAAGTTTCTACTTTTACATTTAGTAATATATACAGGAGAAGAGGTTACTAGCTCCTTGCTCCCGGCATTTTAGTTGCCTCTTACAACACGCATGGCTTACGGAGGAAGAATTCTGTTCCACTTCCCCATGGAGGTAAGAAGAAATAAACAAGAACAAGAACTAGAAAGAAAATAGAAGAAAACCCAAAGGGGTGTGTATATATATGCTTGTACATGTATGTGTAGTGTGACCTAAGTGTAAGTAGAAGTAGCAAGACATACCTGAAATCTTGCATGTGTATGAGACAGATAAAAAAAGACACCAGCAATCTTACCATCATGTAAAACAATTACAGGCTTCAGTTTTACACTCACTTGGCAGGACGGTAGTACCTCCCTGGGCGGTTGCTGTCTACCAACCTACTACCTAGATTAAGTATATTATCTACAGGTATTACGTTAATTTTAGCCTTGTTAGGCAGGCCAGGTTGCTATATTAGTTATGATGCAAAATTATTTATTTTATACCATGTTTACCCACAAAGAGGATATCTAGCAATGCATTAGTGTTTTTTTATATGATCTATTTTAGGGTTTTGCATGTTTGACACTCTCTGCTTAAGAAGCATGACATACATTTACATACAGTATATACACAGTACATACATATTCTGCATACATGCATACATAAATACATACATACATACATACCTGTATATACATATGAAAAATGTCATTGTGAAAAATAAGAGTACTGACTTATCCAAGGTCTTTGTGCATTTACTAGAGAGAAGACGTAATGGAAAATGTGTTGTTATTGATTGTTCCTGTAGTTACTCTAAAGATATATGTGTAAGCACATACAAGCATTCTGATATTTCCACAGTTAATTTTTCACTGGTATTTTTTCATACATGTGATTTCTTCTCTTATAAACATAGTTTTACCTTTTACATTAGTCTTCCTGGTTGTTTAAGGCTTCTTAATGGAGGTATAGTATATGTACATTGGTTGGAGTTTTATACTTTATCAGAATCAGAGGATGTATTTATAACAATTTGTATATATTTTTCTCACAGTAGCTTAGTTATTATTTATTAATGCTGGCTTAAATTATATTACGAATTCAGTATTGAGGATGTGTAGCTTACGTGAAATAGTGTCGTTTCTGTTTGTTTAAAATACAGAAGTAAAATAAAAAAATTATTAATGTTAGCTTAGAGCTAAGACATAGTTGGCTGGGTGCTAGCTATTGTGGTATGTACAGAGCTCATCTTTGTGCTGTTAAAGTCATAGTCTGAGCAGATCATTTATATGACTGTGAGGTTTTAAATATAAAATGTTATAGTTATCTGTTTACATATTCTTTTTAGATTAAAAGTGCCAGCTTGAAAATTGGGAATTTATTGCAGTAGTAGAAACTGCTGTGGCATTCAAAAAGCTGGTGGAAATGCTCAGAGAGTTAATGTCTTGATGTGTCTCGCTCGGGTAATCTATCTCTTTATTCAATAATCCATCCCATTATCCAGCAGTCCATCATCTCATAATCCATTTCAATATCCAATTTTTCATCTCTTGCTATTTAGTAATCCATCGTTACTCTTGTCAAATGCTACATAAATTTCCGTGTTCAGGCTATCACCACATTCAGGCTATCATTCCACATTTTCTCTGCTCATTTCTTCTTCCTCTTCCATTTTCATTAGTTTTATGTACAAATTCTTGGAATTCTTTCTGCATTTACCTTTCATTGCTCCACTCTTTGTTTTACATGAAGTCCTCACATCCTGAGATACTGTGCACTAGTTATGTATGGTATACTGCCTTTTTATATTTCTGAATATCAGTGTTCCATACCCAGACATCTGAACAAAATATTAATCAGTTTTATATTCTAATTATGCTAAGTATGAGAATAGTTTGTCTTAGGGTTTAATTTCTTTGCAAAATTTTTTTTTCTTATAATTGAGTTGATTGATCAGTGAGATTTCCCTGCGGTTTGTTGTCGCTTTGTTGTTGAATATCTGTGATATGCATGGCATCTAAAGATTTATTTTTTGCATTTCTGTTGCTTACCTGTACTTAAAAACTTATTTTAAAACTGTGATTGTTTCAGGTCAGTATTGGTGGTTGTCACTATTTCTGCCAACCTCCTACAATATATGATTGTCTAACTTCATTTTCAGTGGTTATCTCAGAGTTTACCAACCTACTGCAATATTTCATAGCTTATACTTCTTACCATATATCTGGTATGCATGACATTGACTTCATCTATTTCTCTGTATCAACATGAGCTTTATGTAATTTTTCAGAACTCAATATTCTTGATGTAAGTCATGATTGATCCTTTGGTGACTTTAATAATTTTTTTTTTATTTAAGCTCTGATATTACTGTATGTAAAGTAAAACAATTCAGTATGCAGTACAGGTTACTATTACATTTACAGATTCTTTAGGAACCAAACAAAATATAAACACGTACTGTAGTGTATGAGAAGAGGAATGTTAAGTCAGTGTATAAGTGTTTTTGAAGGATAACTTTGTGAAAGGCATATGATGCAACTAATTTATTGTGATACTGTATATAAAATAACTGACAGATGGTAGCAACATAGATGAGGTTTATTGAATTAGATTTAAGAAAATTATGAAG